TCCCACATGTTATGCACATACCAACTCAGTTACAGAGCTGTCCCACATGTTATGCACATACCAGCTCAGTTACACAGAGCTGTCCCACATGTTATGCACATACCAACTCAGTTACACAGAGCTGTCCCACACGTTATGTACATACCAACTCAGTTACACAGAGCTGTCCCACATGTTATGCACATACCAACTCAGTTACACAGAGCTGTCCCACATGTTATGCACATACCAGCTCAGTTACAGAGCTGTCCCACATGTTATGCACATACCAGCTCAGTTACACAGAGCTGTCCTACATGTTATGCACATACCAGCTCAGTTACACAGAGCTGTCCCACATGTTATGCACGTGCCAGCTCAGTTACACAGAGCTGTCCCACATGTTATGTGCATACCAGCTCAGTTACACAGAGATTCCATATGTTATGCACATACCAGCTCAGTTACACAGAGCTGTCCCACATGTTATGCACATACCAGCTCAGTTACAACAGAGCTGTCCCACACGTTATGTACACACCAACTCAGTTACACAGAGCTGTCCCACATGTTATGCACATATACCAACTCAGTTACACAGAACTATCTCACATGTTATACACATACCAGCTCAGTTACACAGAGCTGTCCCACATGTTATGCACGTACCAGCTCAGTTACACAGAGCTTCCATATGTTATGCACATACCAACTCAGTTACATAGAGCTGTCCCACATGTTATGTACATACCAACTCAGTTACACAGAGCTGTCCCACACGTTATGTACATACCAACTCAGTTACACAGAGCTGTCCCACATGTTATGCACATATATACCAACTCAGTTACACAGAGCTATCTCACATGTTATACACATACCAGCTCAGTTACACAGAGCTGTCCCACATGTTATGCACATACCAGCTCAGTTACACAGAGCAGTCCCATATGTTATGCACATACCAGCTCAGTTACACAGAACTGTCCCACATGTTATGCACATACCAGCTCAGTTACACAGAGCAGTCCCATATGTTATGCACATACCAGCTCAGTTACACAGAGCAGTCCCATGTTATGCACATACCAGCTCAGTTACACAGAGCTGTCCCACATGTTATGCACATACCAGCTCAGTTACACGGAGCAGTCCCATATGGTATGCACATACCAGCTCAGTTACACAGAGCAGTCCCATATGTTATGCACATACCAGCTCAGTTACACAGAGCTGTCCCACATGTTATGCACATACCAGCTCAGTTACACAGAGCAGTCCGTTATGTTATGCACATACCAACTCAGTTACACAGAGCTGTCCCACATGTTATGCACATACCAACTCAGTTACGCAGAGCTGTCCCACATTTTATGCACATACCAACTCAGTTACACATAGCTGTCCCACATGTTATGCACATACCAACTCAGTTACACAGAGCATTCCCATATGTTATGCACATACCAGCTCAGTTACACAGAGCAGTCCCATATGTTATGCACATACCAGCTCAGTTACACAGAGCTGTCTCACATTCTATGCACATCATAGTTATCATTGGCTTATTTCTGAATATTTTTTTCTAGGAATATCCTCATCATCTGATCAAGATCAAAGACACAGAGAGACTAAAAGTGTTTCTGACTAACTGGAAGACATTCGACAAACTTTATGATGAAGAATTCAGCTCAAAATTATTGTTTTTCTGGCGAATGGTAATACATTACACATACACTTTATTTATGAGCACTTGAGTGTACTCTCATTGTACTCCCTAGGCTGATAATTATATTGAGTGAACCGTTTTTCACTTTCTAGGTTGTTATTAATGAATTTGTTAACAGATGTGTGAACCGTCATTGTACTCCTAGTTCTTATGTCTATGAAAATTTCACACTTAACAATGAGGTTAACTCTTTCTGAACTCTTGAAGTTATTTCTTAAGAACACCTGACGCTTGGAGACACTTAAAACTTAACAGTTAGCGTAATCTTGACATTTGGACACATAACACTTAACAATTATCATAATCTTATGTGTACTCCCTAGGCTGGTGGTTATGAAGAAATGGTGAAAGGATCAAAAGCATGTCTTGAAGAGTTGGAGAATGACCCTAGCGCTAACAGAGCTTTGCTTGCATTGAGGACAGCCAGTATTGCACGGGTTCTGTAAGTCATTATTAAACATGTAAATATGTGTGAAACTAGACTGCAATCACAGGAACACTTTTGAGCTGGCCAAATAACATGTGATTTATTTCTTAATATATTTGGGCTAAAAATAAGTCTATACACAAAAAATTATAATATTTTCAATATTCATGTGATTTTTCATATTCAAGATATTTATAGGATGAATTGTAATTTTTTTATTATTGTAATCATTTATTCATATTTGGTTTAATGAATTTACACTTTCTCATATGTCGTCCACCCCCCTGTTCAAATTATATCTATGTGCAGTAATTTTAACTGTACTGACTGGAAAGTCAAACAAAAGTTAAGTATGAGGAAGGAAAAGCTGAGGTGTTCTAAGGAGTCCAGTTACTATATTATGGCCCCATAACTTGCCTTTTTTCTGCTCACTTTACTAAAGTAATGTTGGGTTGAGAATAATATCGCTTTGACAAAAAATAACAAAAGTTTTAGCATTTCCACCACAAGAGGGAGTACTCAGCACCTAAAGAAAGAACAGTTAAAAGGGGCATCTTCATTTAAGCCTAATTTCACAACAAATTTGCTTTCTGGATTGAAATTATAATGGATAACAAAAGATAGATTAACATTGTTAACAACATAAACATTAATGTTCCATGATTCTTTTGTGCAATCCCTGGGTTTGGCAGGTTTCCTTTTAAACTGATAGTACTAAAATATGCATTACAGCTGTTGGGCACAAATTAAAAAAAAAATTGATATAGTTTGTCAGTGCAAAAATCTATTGATATTCTTTTCCCTTTGTAACACAGCAAATATAAAGTCACCCTCTTGACTTGATTCCATGTTTATTTGTAAATGTATTTGATTTTTGATTCAAATTAATTTCTGATATCATATATTTTGCATTGTTCAGTACACAAGCTGGTCAATATCAAGTTGCATTGGATCTACTCAAGAAAGCTATGGATATAGAAGAGAACGAGTTAGGGGCCCGTCCTGAGAGAATGGTGGAATTATACGATGTTTGCAGTAAAAATTATACTGATGTGAGTAAATTTATATAACTCTATTTTTTTTCAAATATTTGTTTGTACCAGATGACATTTCCAAACATGATGTTATCTTTCCTGACATTTTTCATGTGCAAATTTCAAGTACACTTTATGACAGTGAATACATAAAGTAGTTACTGTTAACCAGGCCCAGTCATACATAAGCACTTGCAGAGGGTTCTGCCAGAATTCTGTCCGATATTCGGCCAGTGGCTTCGCAGTTTTGATATCTTGCTATAAGCAAAGACACTAGTAGAACAGATCAAGTCAAAAAATATAACCAGTGTTTTCACAGACTTGTTTGAATTAATATTTCTAGAAATTGTCATTTGTCATGCAATTTTGTTTTTTAATTCACATGACGTCTTCGAAACATATCACACCTTTTAATATTCTCATCTTACCGGTATATCTATTTTATTACTACTAATGAGTTACACAATTTTAAATTCAAAATTATTCTATTATATATTTGATATATAATAATTTATTTTCTCACTACAGTATTCCTTCATGTAATGCATGTATTATTTCTTTGTTGTACATAGAGTGAATTATTACACCCATTATTCACATGTGGTTATTTTTACCCATGACATCTGTCATGTTTTGGTTTCATTCCAAAGATTACTTGATCTAAATTTAGTGTGTGATTCCCCTTGTTTGGTATATTTATGAGTACAACTATTGTGTCTTCCAATGTTGTAGGGATTTTGAGTCACAATAGAATTTAGGATTTTATCAGCTGTAGAGAAAGATATTTAATAAAAATAGAAA